AAGTGTTACATTATTACATTTGAATTCAATCTTTATGGGAATTTCCTTAATAGTTGCCTAGGTTTTATTTCTTTAAAATTCTAATCTGTTGTAAATTTCTTGCTAAATTCCTTAGCGAATTTCTCAAGTATAGTTTTGATGTATTTCATATTACTATGCTGCGAAATGTGCACGTGCAGCCAATCCTCTTCTAACAAAAGAAACTTGAAATTCACCTGCAAATATCAATAACAAGAAGAAATAACAAAGGTCAGATAATATTGATGTGTCGTACATTTAATTCACAACCCACGTAGAAGAGCAATTGAACTAAATTTGGCATATGAACAAAATTGTCGATACAAAAGTATTAACTATCGGGAATTTTAGAACACAATTGTCAAGAACTGTGTTTATCGCGACAGACGTCTCCATAATTGTTGAGATTGAACAAAGAGCACAAATAGTTGTGGCAATGCCGGCTTGGCCCTTAATCTCACGAGCTCGTGGCTCGTTGAAGCTTGGGCTCGGCTCGTTGATTTTGGGCGAGCTCCGCTTGGCTCACGAGCTCATGGCTTGTGGGCTCTCATTTTTTTAAGAGAAAAACACAAATAAATGAAATAATGTAATGAAAACACTTTAAAAAAATAAAAATTTTAAAAAAATACAAATAATTTAATGAAGACACTTTTTTATTTTTTTTATTTATATCATATTGTAATATTTTTTATAAAATATAAAGTATTCATATAATGAAGACGAATTATTTTTTCAAATAAATTTACAAAAAATATTTTTTTTTATTTCATGCTAAAGTAGATAAAATGTAAACCCTCCTTCCTTTATCCGGGCTTGGGACTGGCTACATCAATTTTAAGTAGGCGGAGTTAAAAATTGTACACGAACAACTTGTTGTAACGTGTACAATTTTTTAAAGAAAATTAAATTTAAATATTAAAAAATAAAGAAATTTTGATTAATATAATTAAATCAAATATCACTTACCTAACGACATGCAATTTCAGCGTATTTATCTTGTAGCCGAAAATGAGCGTCCTGTCAATGCTTCACATACATTAACGCTTCCAAAACATCTTTTTTCAGTCGGCTCCTGCCATCGGTCAAAACCCTTTTACCTGTGCTAAAAGCAAACTCCGAAGCAACAATACTAACTGGAGGTATCAGTATATCTTTCGCAATTGCAGAAACAATTGGCCAACGTCTTTCATACTTTCGTCAGAATTCAATTACTTCTTCTGAATTTTTTTTAATTGTTCTGTCTGTTGGCATATTATGATTGAAGTAATCAATTAATTCGGCAGGCATCGTATTTTGAGTTTCGACCGATGTTTGATGAGATGCAAATGTAGACGACATGGTACTAGATGAACACATTGCAGTTGCATCATATCTAAATATATTAATGCTTTGAAATAAATTCATTATTTCGGTATCATCTTCTTCAATTTCAACCGAAAGAGTAGGTGCAGAGGGTACCCGACCAACATTCGCATCCATTCTTTCTGCATATAAATCATACATTCCACATAATTTTTGCTCTAAATTCTTATAGGTGATAGGTGTATCAAATATTAAAAAACTTTATTGACTTAATTAATTACGTATTTAGTTCCCGTAATATTATATCGGGGATCTATTGGGGATGCTAAAAGAAATAATATAGGCAGTTCTTCCCAATATTTTCTAAACTTTAATTTCATAGTAATTATAATTTCACTAAAAGAATGATCATTTTTATATTTATGGAATGTTCTTGCAATTATATAAATGCGTTCAAGCACCATACAATTTGTGGGATAATAAACGCCAAATAAGATCTTTGTAGTCTCATAAAAAGATGTCAAAAATCCTTTAACTTTCAAAGTTAAAATCCAATCGGATTCATTTAACATATCATCGTCATCACTTCTAACGTGTCTATTGTTATAAAAGTCAATTATTAAATTTTCGAAATATTCACATGACTTTAATGGCAAGTAAGTAAAGTTCCATATATGTCTTACGTCGCTAACAAATGTTTTAGCAGTCGTCACCCCTAATTCGGCACAAAAATCTTCAAATGCTTGTTTTCTACAAGGAGAGATCGTAATATATACTAATGCATTCCTAATCTTTTGAAATTCATCATTTATATGTTTTAAGTTATCTTGCACAATTAAATTCAAGATATGACACACACAACGAATATGAAACAAATACCCACCAAAATCAGGTTGAAGTGTCCTGCACAATTTATCGACGACTACCTTATTACCACTAGCATTATCAAAAGTAAAAGATCAAATTTTAGTCTCGCAATTATATTCTCTAATAATACTGATAATAGCATTATATATATTATTAACATTGTGAGGAAGTTCAATAATTTTAAAAATAATAATTTTATTATGCATGCACCGAAGTGGTCTATATAGTGTGCGGTTGCAGCTATATATAATATTTGATTAACTCATTCCCATATATCATAAGTTAAAGATATAACACACTCATATTGTTGCACATCCATAATTAATTGTTATTTTGAATTATTGAAATATTGTATTGTATCGGCACGAAGAGGGTTTCGACTTACTCCAATATACCTTGGTTGCAGATATTCTTTTACGAACGAGACGAAGTGTTAGTTGTCTACAATAGCTAGAGGCAACTCAGTAGTTGCAACAAATTTCACCATTCCGGTTCGATTATTGTCCTCCGAATAGACCCAAGTGGATAGGGGTGAAGTCGTAGAACCGACGCCTGGACTGTCAAATTGCAATTGTGTTTGACCAGTTGGAAGAAGTCCATGTCTGACCGCACATGCTTTGTAATGGTGGTTGAAATGGGTGGTACCAATTCTTTTTTATCATGTCAATCTTTGTTGGCAGTATTTACATACTGTTTTAGATTCTACAAGGTCATCGATGACTTTCTCGTTAAAATCCACTTAAAGTGATCCCAACATTTTGCTTGTTTTTGCCCTTTCGCTTTCCCCTTGCATCTAGGATGTTTAATTCGGTATCTTCGTCATCATGTTTCACTTCGGGAACGTTAATATTATCCAAATCAATTGGATTGTTGCTTCCCTGACCGTGAATGTGAATATCTTCACGTATGAGTATGTCATTTAGACCGACAAATTCATTTGGAAATTGACTTTGCAGCGTTCTAGGCGATTTTCCATGATGCGGCCTACATCCCGTATCGAATAAGCTTTCAACAAATGAACGTTGGTCCATTTGTTTGATTGTTTATAATGAAATCCAAATATAATAACTAGAAAATATAAATGTAGTGAGATTGTGATAATTGAGAATTTGATGAATTGAAATTATAACTAATAAATTGTAAAAATTGAATCGATATTGTATATTTTGCAGCGCAAGAGAATAAAAACTCGATAAGAGAGTTGACAGAGTTGAGACTTGAGAGAGTTGAAGTAGTGATTGAGTAATTGATATAAAAAAAAGGGGGGGGGGAGTTAAGAAATATTTATAGTAGAAGGGAAAAAAATAAAAAATAAATAAATTTCAGTGACCGTTTGGTCACTGAAAAGTATTTATAGTAGAAGGGAAAAAAATAAAAAATAAATAAATTTCAGTGACCGTTTGGTCACTGAAACTTTTCAGTGACCAAAATTTTCACTTTTTTTAAAAAGCGACCATTTTGGTCACTTAATTATAACGAGCTGCTCGTGGGCTCATATTTAACTCGGCTTTCCTCTCGGCAAGGCCCGCTTGGCTCACGCTTGGGCTCGTGATTTTACGAGCCCGAGCCGCCCACGAGCCCTATTTCGACGAACCCGATTCTGCCCTTTTGACATGCCTAAGCACAAATGTTCCGTATCTATTCTGCAGAAAGTAAATAGTAGTTCTATTCTAACTAAAACATCTTACCGTTCCTTAATGGAAACTTCTATTCATTTATTTTTCATAAAATTGGACAAATAAATCTCCCAAAATCTTATAAACATACTTATTTACCCGTTCTTCTCATAAAAAAAACATGTCAGGAGGTGGTCCACAGTAGTTGAAGAACAGAGGTTATTAGTAGGAATATATATACTTTATCAATATGAAATAAAAAATATTTAAAAGGAGTCACTTGAAAAAATAAAATAAAAACTTATTTTAAGTAAACTTGCTTAAAAAATAAAATAAAATAAAAACTTATTTGAAAAATGTTACTTAGAAAAAAAATTAATTAATTGAAAAAAATTATTTTTATTTTTTATATATGATGCAAAATTACCCCTTTTAAAATTAGTGAAAATTGTGAAAAGAAGTTGAAAATCATGATGAAATATTATATAAAATTGGATAATTATGGTGAAATAAAATTAAATATAATTTGCTATTTGTATACGGGCGTGTTAAACGTCCATGGACACTCTCCTTACATGAGATGAGACCGCATCCAATTAAAAAAAAAAAAAAGCGCAGCCCCCCTGTGAGGAGAGTGACACGCCTGTGTGCATTTAGCACAAATCAAATAAAATTGGGTGGTCATGGTAATATTAAACATAAAATAGAGGAGTGATGATGAAATAAAATTAAATTAGATGATCTTGATGACACTAAACATAAAATTATGGATTATTAATGAATTCAACTCTAAACCAAACATATATAGATCGACCTGTGGTCGAACAATTGAACGTGAAAACAACCTCCCGTCGAATATACTAGTGTCAGGCCCTCAGGAAACATCTCCAAGTGGCAAAAGGGTGGGTGGAGAAATCCAGCTTTGCTTGAGGCTACCTTGTCAAGAGTTCGAATCCTGAAATATGGATTTGGCTCTTGAGTAAGTGTAAGTATACAAGCAACCTTCCACCCTGTATCCTTGGAGGCATAACCTGCGATTTACCTTCCTCACGATGCTCCAAGGCAGGAACGGTGGGGAACCCTTGACATTGGGGTTTAATCTTTTTTTTACTAGTGTCAGTACATGATGAGTTCCAATTTTGCATTTACACGAAAAAAAATCTCTATCCAAAAATAGTAGTTTGTGATGCTGTTACGAAATTTCCAGAAAAATAAACAAATTTTTTTTTTCTCGCAGCTACTTGACAGCCACCCAGACCAAACTGTACCCATCTTGGAGCTTTCCCTCTTTCTTCAAGAGATTAATCTCTTTCTCTACGCATATTTTTAAATATTTTTATTGTGTTTAAGAAGCCGTGGAATTTCGTTTTCTTTGTGATGTGTTACGAACTTCCGGTTTGCAAGAAATGTATTGCTTGTAACTACTCTGTCTAGTGACATTTCAACTATAAATCTCTATTTTTCTACCCAATTTGTTTTCGTTAAGTATGAGTTTCATATTCATTTCTTAGTGGTTGAGATTTATAATAAGGTTCTTGATCTTGGATTTGTGGGGTACCTGCAAAATGAGGAATTGGAGATGCGTTTTTTCTATGGTTGTTTATTTCGCATTTTGTTTTAGTATTGAAGCTTACAAGTTTCAGAGAACTCAACAAACGGAGAGAATCTCAGGTAAGAAAAAATTGGTATTTACTCTTTCATTATGTTTGTTTCGAATGGTTGATATTTTATATTATTATTTAGTTTGGCTAAAATTTTAGTGGTTTATCTTGGGTACACTGTTGATTTGGAAAAATAGGGATTTGGTATTTTGTGATTTCAGAAAGGTTTGAGATGGGAATGCAAGTTAGGTTTCGGTTGTGTTGTGGGAAGTTGCAAGGATTGACTGTATATTGTTAAAATTCGGCTGGTCCTATAAATGAATTGAGAAAATTGGATGTTGTATTTCTCTTTGTTGAAGTTTAGAGTCTAGTATTTATATGTTAACTATAAGCATTAATGATGGTTTGCTTTGATTAGATTAGTTGTTAGTGTTCTCTCCATTTGGATGAACTTCTGCCAAGATCAAGCATCAATAATATATTATATTTGAACGAAATACTGCAAACTCCGTATCCATGTTCCTCTGTTAGAGGTACCATAGTATATTACTCGATGATTCCTTTTCCTTGATCGTGCCGTTCAGGTACTCTTAGTGTGATGTAATTTCCGGTACAATCTTTACTACATATAAAGAGACAATTCCTTCATTAAGCTGTATGTTGTGATGAAGTTTAGGATCTAATATTCATATGTTAACTAGAAGCTGTAATGATGGTTTGCTTTGATGGTTGTTAGTGTTCTTTCAACTTGGACAGACATCTGCCAAGATCAAGCATCATTGATCCATTCTATTTGAATGAAATACTGCAAACTACCTATCCATGTTCCTCTGTTAGAGGTACCATTATATATTACTCAGATGATTTTTTTATTGATCGTGCCATCTAGTACTCTGTCTTAAGTGTGATATAATTTCCGGTACAATCTCTACCACATAATAAAGAGACTTCATTAAGTAGTAAAATGATTTTTTTAAGCTGACCCCAACGAACCACGGAATATTGACATTTCAACTCCAGTTGCAAAACTCTAGCAAGAAAAGGTGATTTATGATACCTGTGGAAATAGCAGAACCTTCTGTGGGCTTATCCACATTTTCTTGAAGGGATAGAGGGTGTGTTTGAGCCACATTTTTTTTGAAGAATGTATTTTGAAATAGTAGATTTATGGAGAATTTGTGGTTAAAAAAAGGAAAAGTTTTTTATTTGCGTGTAATATTATTTTAATAAAGATCATGTGGTTGAAAAGAAGGTAGCGGAAAATGTATTTTGGGAAAAATAAGAATCAAACACCCCCTGAATTTGCAGTTTAGGTAAATTCAATACATCATTGGTTGGAAGTATTAACATCTATGCACCTGAATAGGATGCTGAATATACCACTACCTGCTGCTGATAGTTCTGGCTTTCTCTTTAACCTGAACTTTTGTATTGAGATATTTTAGGATAAGGTCTGGGGTAGGTCAAAGTTACTTTTATGTTTTAACCCTTATTTGGGCTCCATTTTACTGAGGTTTTGGGAAAAATGTATTTTGGAATAGTAATATTTCGGAGAATGTGTGGTTAAAAAGAAGGAAAGGTCTTGGGTTTACATGTAATATTATTTTATTGAAAAGTATGAGATTGAGAAGAAGAAAGAGAAAAATGTTCAAAATTAAAATGGAGCCCAAATAAGGGCTTAGTAGGTAAATGCATATAAAATTGGTTTTTGTGTTCTAATGTAAGACGGATAGTAGGAAGAATTGAGATTTATCTTCTGTTGTCTGGAATATAAAGAATAGGACTTCATTTGAAAGAAATGAAATATTTTATCCTGTTGTATCGTACCGAGTGGAATTTGTCAAAGAAGAGAAAATACTAGCTATTTTTGGCAACTGGCAGTAAACAACTATTTTTCAGTCCGGAGGTCTTCAGCTGAGAAATTGTAGACATGTTTGAAAATGGTGTTTCATGTGCCTGGGGCCAAAAGTTCGGCAATCTTGGAAGTTTTGGCAGCAAGTTGTATTTTAGGTTCCCAGGAAGGAGAGAAATATTGTAGTGAAAGATTGGTTTTATGTAGTTAGGTGACTTATTTTGAAGTTGATTATGTATCTTATGATGCTTAGTAGAGTTAAGAGTGAAAGAACTTCCTGCCTGCCAATTTGAAGATGTTGAATGGACGCCTTGGCTGTTAACCTTGTGGTTACTTGAGCTACCAGACAAGCCATTTGTGGGTTGAACCTAACCTTGAATGGATGTTGAGAAGCAGCGATAAATTAAGGCCATGTGACTCCAACTATCTTGAATCAATATAAGTTGTTGAGGCTTCAATCAGCATCAGAGATAAACTTCTTTTTTTCTCAACATATATTGGTGTCACTGCTGGGAGCTACAGAGGTGCAAGGTTTTTAATCAATATTGGGTATTTATATGGTGTAATAGTATAATTGTTAAATAAAAGCACATAAAGCTGACATATTGTCTGGTTTAGTTAAGTTATAGCGCCTATTTGAGTCCCATTTTTTGCCCAAAATGCATTTTGGAATAGTATTTTGTTGGAGAATGTGTGGTTAAAAAATAAGGAAGAATTTTGGTGTGTATAATATTATTTTATTGAAAAATGTATGAATGAAAATAAGAGAAAGAAAAATGTATTATGGAAATAATGGGTACCGAACAAGGGCTTTTCATGTCTGCATTCTCTGCCCTCATTGTTATTAGAAGTTCACGCTGGTGAATCTCTCTGTTTAAAAATTAAAAATTAAGCATTACTTTACCCAAACAGCCATTGCAGCAAAAAACAGTGCAGAGCCTTCTGAGTGGCCTTTCCAAAGGCTGTTCATCTGTGGGCCATGAATTTAAGCACATTTAGTTGGGAGGATTGAATAGTTATAGCTAATAAACAGCATTAAGGAATAAAACGAAGCTAAAATTTGTTCATTATAATGTCAATTTCTATCGAGTACTGCATATCAAGTATGCTCTTGGTGCATTATTCAATTCATGTGAACTGAAACTAATAAACAAAAAATAAGTCGCTGAATGAAAAAACACCATTTTTGCTGAAGGTGAGTTGTGAGGGACCATGGTTGAAACATGCTTTGGGGTACATGGATACGCTACTGTAGGACTATTCTAATTTATTTCCTGTTATGCATTCTAATTTATTTTTCAGAAGAATTAATAAACTCTCTACTTTTGGTCTTAAACTCTAGCATCTTAAACTATAGCATCTCATGACATGCTTGGATGACTGCTCGATATGATTGAGTCTCTGCTTTATCTTGACTTTGTTCATTCTGTTTAGTCCCCTTGGAAAATAGTTTTATCTTGCTTACTAAGCACATGTTTTGATGGCGAAAATTATTTTCAATCACATTCACATAATAAAATATTTTGTACGTAAAAATCAAACTTTTCCTTATTTTTTAACCACTTATTCTCCTAAAAATCACTATTAAAAACATTGTTTTTTCAAATAATGACCATTAAACAGGGGCTAAGTTGAATCTGTTCGGTGATAAGATTAGTTTTCCTAATATGTTGTTTGACTTTCAAAACTACTAATATTCATACCTACATTAGAACGTGCTAAATTTTATAATTTTCCCAATATATCAAATGGTTTAACTTTGAAACATAATTTTCCAATTATAGAGGGAATCCCTTAGATATAATGCAAAACGGATTTTGTTTTATCCAGATGCTTGTAGTTATGTCAATTCATTAAGTTTATAATTTTGTATGGTATCTTTGCTAGTGTACAGTATGAGTAAACAATGTGACACACAAGTCTTAATTGAATTTACACCATGTCAATTGATAAACTTTGCTTTTTAGATTTTCTAACTATGATGTCATTTGATATGCCTATACTTTGAAATTTTAGGTAGTGCTGGCGATGTCTTAGAAGATGATCCAGTTGGAAGGTTAAAAGTTTTCGTATATGAGCTTCCCAGCAAATACAACAAAAAAATTCTGCAAAAGGACCCACGATGCCTCACTCATATGTTTGCTGCTGAGATTTACATGCATCGCTTCCTTTTATCTAGCCCCGTCAGAACGCTTAATCCCGAGGAAGCAGATTGGTTCTATACACCTGTGTATACAACTTGTGACCTGACACCAAATGGTCTCCCTTTACCATTCAAATCACCTCGTATGATGAGGAGTGCTATACAGCTTATTTCTTCCAATTGGCCTTACTGGAATAGAACTGAAGGGGCTGATCACTTCTTCATTGTGCCTCACGATTTTGGTGCATGCTTTCACTATCAAGTAAGAAATTTGACTGTCTATATCACCCATAATACAAAATCTCCGAATGCACATATGAAGTACATATAATTTCCTCAATACTGCAGGTGGTAGAAACAATAGTGTGTGTAAGAGTAAATTGTAGTCTTTTATATATTTTTACTATTCTCATTGCAGGAAGAAAAAGCCATTGAAAGAGGAATTCTTACCCTGCTCCAGCGTGCTACCTTGGTTCAAACTTTTGGACAACGTAACCATTTTTGCTTAAAGGATGGCTCCATTACAATTCCTCCATATGCTCCTCCGCAGAAAATGCAATCCCATTTAATCCCGCCTAGCACTCCTCGGTCCATCTTTGTTTACTTCCGTGGTTTGTTTTATGACGTGGGAAACGACCCAGAAGGTGGCTATTACGCAAGGTATACAATTAGACCTGCACCTACAGATGTTCAAATGATTTTGCAAACAAAGTCGAATAGAGTTAGATTAAACATATTGACCTTACATATTGGAAAAGTCTGAAGTCTAAAATTTACTTTTTTTTCAAATTTTACAGGGGTGCACGAGCTTCGGTATGGGAGAACTTTAAGAACAATCCTCTATTTGACATCTCAACAGAGCACCCAAGTACCTACTATGAAGACATGCAAAGAGCTGTTTTTTGTTTGTGTCCACTTGGATGGGCTCCATGGAGTCCAAGATTGGTAGAAGCTGTCATTTTTGGTTGCATTCCGGTTATCATAGCAGACGATATTGTGTTGCCATTTGCTGATGCAATTCCATGGGAAGATATAGGGGTGTTTGTACCTGAGAAGGATGTTCCTAAGTTGGATACGATTCTCACTTCAATTCCGATTGACGAAATATTGAGGAAGCAGAGATTACTTGGCAACCCTTCGATGAAGCAGGCAATGTTATTCCCGCAACCTGTGCAGCCGAGGGACGCTTTTCATCAGATTCTGAACGGACTTGCTCGTAAGTTGCCACATGATAAGAGTGTGTATCTGAAACCGGGTGAGACGATCCTTAACTGGACAGCTGGTCCAGTTGGTGACCTCAAACCTTGGTAGGGGGGTGATTTTTGAGATGTTTGATCTTGCTGCTGGCTCGGTCCTGAGCTCATGCTGAATTGGAAGTGTTGATCGAGAAGGATTAGTTCATGTATATAGTTCAAGGGGACAGGTGATTTGAAACCTGATCGACATCTGATGTGTGATTTTGACTTGCATATTTCTATCCTTTTGCTGATATTGGGTTTGTTATAGTGAAGAAAATGATCTTCGTTTATTTGTAATTTGCAAACTGTGAAAAGAGAGTTCAAATTATCATGCTATTCTGCCATTAGTGTTTATTTCTTTCTTGGTCATGTGGTTTGATTTGTGATATTTTCTGGCCTGTGCCCAGTAACCCGTCGTGGTCCACGCTTGCGGTCTTCTGTTTGTCCTGGCATTTTTCTGTAAGAGTCGACTTTCTTTACGCCATAGTTGAAACGATAATTTTAACTTGTTTATTATTTTGAAGAAGCAAAGTCGACGGAATAAATTATATATAAAGCATCAACGATTACTGGATAATTATCGTACGAACATAATACAGCTATTATACAAACTTCAAATTTCGTGATAACAAGGCTTAATTTCTCCACTCATTCTTCTTCATGATCAAATTTTCATTTTCAGAATAGGAAGGATCAAGAAGTCGTCTAAACGGTCGGTCATTTCTCCTGTCGAATATATACCAACCACAATGCTCTAGAATAACTGGATTCTAACAAACCTCGTACTATTCTAGTTTAAGATGTCATAAAAAAAAAACACAATTCCTGTACAAATATTGTGGCAAGTATGGATAGGAGAATGGACAAAGTGGATATCTAAGGTATATAAAGACGATGATAAATTTATATATAGCGAACATCTGGGAAGCAATAACGAACCCTCCATTCTTCTCTCTATGCACTGAAAGAAGTTTTCAAAGGAGATAATATATCATAAAAACTAGAGGCAGGAGCAGGTTTGAACTCATATGGACCTCCCTTTCCACCCCAAACCTGTAATAAGAGGAAAAGTGGGGAAGAAGTTGTTTACTGTTACAAAAGGATTGTAAATATTCTCAAGAAAATCTGCAATTGTTCAAATAAACTATATAATATTTCATATTTAAAAAGAAAACAGATAAAGTAAGTCATCAGCACTAACTTGATTTCCATCGTCATCATAGCCTCTATCCCATGTATGTATCTCATTGTTTTTCAAGACGGCAAGTTCTGAGGTACTGTAAGAGGCACCATTCTGCAATACGTAAAACATGAATCTTCAGTAGAGAATAAAATAATACACCATTTTACGTGGTATCATGAAGAAAAATACCAACGCTACAGTTATGGCTATGTTTAACAAGATAGATACTGGAGGAAATATTGACAAGAGAGCAGCAACTGGGTCGAGAGGCATACCCATGTATTAGGAAATCCATCTGATGGAGTTGAACCTTCATATAAACAGCGCTTCCCTCTTTCACAGCGTTTCATATAAATGGTGGTCAAATGCTCAGAAATGTCCTGCATACGAAAGTTGCCGAAATTAACGCTTGAACAATGTCTGAGGTACCATGCATTATCAACAGAAATATAGTATATGGCCTTGGCCAACAGTTTTTGCAGTTATATTCAAATGCTGCCCATGAAACACAACTGAAAGTACTAGAAGATGAAATAAATCTGTCACTTGTGATCTCAGATAATAAAATTTCACCAAGCTGGGTAAGAAACATCAAGTACCTGGACCATCACCAGATCTCCTTACCTTCTCATACCAAATGGCCATTTTAACCCAACAGAACAAGGTCAAAATAAATTAAAAGAAAACAGAAAAATGAATAAGCAAGCCATCCAATTCAGGGGCAAAAAAAAAGAAAGAAAAAGAAAAGGAAAAAAAGAAAGAAGAAAATGGAACCAGGAACAATGAATATATTATAAAAATTTCTGCCCAATATTCCAAATTAGTAAACACGGAACAGATCTTTGGGAGGCAGCCGCTCTTTTTAAATTATAGACCTATGTTGCCTGAGATAAAAGAATTTATATAATTGCTGTAATTAAAGAAGAAATTCATAAAATTTATTATTTCATAGCTGTTATTGTCTATAGAAGAGACTCTAATCATATGACTGTGTCGTCTTTATATTTTTTGTACTCCATGTACTATTATGCAATCACATTTCCAATTTCTGAAACACAGGTCTGGTTTTTGGAACTTAAAAATATCATACAGATCGTAAGGAGGAAATATCATTATTCTATTTTTTCAGTAACATGTTTTCATGAAACACCTATAGTGACAGCATAAAGTAAAAAGGTTTATCAGCTTAAGAATTTGTTAGGATTAACATGAAACAATGAAAACTTTGAAAAGAGATACGATCCAAATTTTAATTAAATGAATTTATATGTTGTGTCTTAAGAACTGGATTTCTCTCTCCCTCTCAGATCAAAGAAATACTCAATTCAACACCTCCCCTAGCTTCCTTCCAAACTAAAGAGAAATGCAGAAAGGAAAAAAAATTCTTCGTATTTGATTTTCGTATTAACAGATAACTGATCTCAAACAACATGATGAGGTGAACAATGGTTATATCCAATTGTAATGTCAATCAAGTTGTCAAAGATGCAATCTTCAAATTCAAATTAAAAAGGGCCAGCGAAAATAAACATTTGACTAAATGCATTTATAATAGCACTGCAACTGAAAGCTTACTCCAATAACTTCTTCAGGCCGTGGCTGCTGGTCCTTGGGACGATCACAAAAATTCTTGTATTCCTCTACATCCCTGATTGCATATGTACTAACCTGCCACCAAGCAGGAGTTAAATTGTTAAAATCTTGTATTAGGCTTTAGGGAGACAAACAAATTCCATCATAATCTTCAAAAGATATTAGGTTCGGTCAGGCACCACCATAACTAGGAGCAAGTTTGGCTAAGCTTAAAAATTTTACCTGTCACGCACACATATTATGTTTCTAATGGACTTCATTATTCTTGCTTCAAGCTTACAGAAGCCTCTTTATTTGGATATCTAGGTATAGGATAAAGTTGAAAATTAGTTACTTATTTAACAATAAGCTCAGAGTTACTTCCAAAATAAAGTAACTTCTTCTATAAAATTAAGAAAATAATAATATATCAAACATGTTTTCCAACAGAATTTACTTCAAAATAACTTTTACATTTTTTTAAGCTTCTTAACATGCTCTAGATAAAAGAAACACTGTATATGCATAATTTGATTGGAAGTGTTGCAATAGTTGGTTGATGGAAAAAAGTAGTATAACGTAAGCTAGTAGATATTTTGAGGCAAAGGTAATAGCAGTTGCTATGCCAACATAGAAGCCCCACCGGTGTACCGGTGATCACAGTCAATAACAACACAGGAAACCATCCTTTTACGAGATTCGAATTTGATCTACTTGCATTACCTTTATTTTCTGTCTGATTTTCCAAGATACCCATCCCACCCAGGTAAATACCAATAAGGCAACCATCCAAATAAGCATGTGCGGGTTACATTTTCTTTAACTAAAAAGTTACTTTTCAAAAGTCAAATATTAGTTTAACTCCACATTTCGTACAAAACAACAAGTATTACCCATTTATCCCCCATTAATTTCTTGAAAAGTAACATTTAAGCAAAATAAAATGAAATCTCAAAAGAGGCTAAATAAATACAACCAACTAAAAGCCTAATTCCTAATTAACTTCCATTTGATGTAATGCGACTAATGAGAAGAACAAACCACTGTACACAACCAAAACTTTTAACACCACTGACATATAGCCATGAAAAAAATCAAATAAAAATTTATTTTCCAGCTTATTAGTAGGTCATATATCTTCCAATTGGAACCTGCTATAAATTTTTGCATGCATGCATCAGAATACAATGCAATACTAGGCGTACAAGTAACAGGGTCAGGGAGAGAGGTATTGAGGATGGTTAATATAAAAGTAGCAATTTCGAAAATAAGCATAAAACAAACCTCAACATCACACTTCATCTCCTTTGGACAAGGCTTTACCATGAAAAATCTCTGCATATAGATGGCTATTAGAATTTTAAATAAGTTGAAGAATAGCTGACAAATACAAGACAAATAATAATCAATGTGAACAATACAAAATTTTGTCATTTAGTATGAAACATAGAAATATAAGACTGAAGAAGAGAAAAACAATTGAGAAAGTGAGAAGCTGCCTTTCCATTTCCAGACCAAGAAAACGAAGAATGATAGAGCACTCACTAAAATCAAAATCCAAACAGAGCATTACAGGTTGATGTTAATAAGTTATAAGTTACACCTATTGCATGGGGTGGGGCAAATGATAGAATTTGAATGTACCTGCCGAAATGGCTTAAGAGGAGTTCTCCAGAATGCCTGCCCACATGAGAAGTCCATAAAAAGCTCAATCTTTTGCAGTGCAAAGTAAATTGATGGAAAAAAGAAAACTTATTTCAGATAGTTACTCAAAATCTGACCTGTTCAAAATACAAAACCCTGGAACCATCTACCATCTCTGCTGCTGGGCAAGAAAGCCATCTAGAGAAAAAGATAAAATAAGAACATAAATTCCACAAGTTCTGAACCAAAAAGACTAAGGATGTGTCATGGCTCACTCAACTCACCATACAACTACTCAACCATTACAAATGCATTCTAGAATGTTCCATATCTTTCTCTATAAATTGAGCACATGAAGGAATGAAAAGCATGTTGAAGATTAGTAGTTTGGTGAAAACCAAATTTCCTCTCCCTTACTCTCTCTCTATAAATCTCTGTTCTGCTTCTTCTTCTCTTTCAATACTATTTATCTAATCTCGTTCTTCTGATTTTCTGCATTTTCCCTTCCCCTTTCTGTTTACATTTCATTATTTTATTGTAATTTCATTTCAATTAATAGAATTACAGCTTGGGTAATTGATTCCCATCTGATTACTTCAATTGAGTGTTGATTTTAAGTTGAATTTAGTCAGTTTTGGTAGAAGTGGAGCTCCAAACAAATGGTATCAGAACAGCTACAGACCTCGGGTGCCTCTCGATTGGATAGCAAAATAAAAGAAATCAATCAGAAGCATGATCTACTGATTTCAATGATGACTGAAATTATTGAGGCTAAATCAATCTCCAAAGATCAGTCCAACCATTACCTAGAAATAGCCAGGTCTTCTGCAATGCAAATGGACGATTCAGATTCTAAACTGGAAGGGAACTGGGTTCCTGTTCTGAACCGGAAGAGAAACTGGTAAAGCAGGTTAGTGCTTCCAATTTGAACAAAGACAGCAATTTAGTTGTTGTAGTTATCAAGCGTGTTGTTGAGATGGAAACTATTGTGGAGAGTAGTTTTGAGAAGTTCGAATCTGATTTTTGGCATTGAGAAGGATGAAGAAAACTTCAGTGCAGAGAACGCATTAGTTTCAGATACTGATCATAAACAATTGAATGGCACTGTTACTGATATGGATAAAACTATAGGACGAAGTAGGGAAAGTGGGTGTTGAGTGTGAAAGCTCGCAACGTCTGTTATCAATTTTTTCAATGAACATCCTCTCATCAAGTTCGGATAGTGCAGTCCCTCGAACAATCAAACACCAGCTTTCATGCAAAGATGAAATTGAAGAGAGGACAAGCCCTCGCAAGGCCATTTGTCTCTCATCAGTTCCAAATGAAATTAGAGAGAGGAAGAGCTCTCTGAAACTCAGTCAGCAACTGAGGATCCTTTGTAAACTTGAGTACAGAAAATTAATTTTAATACATAGTTACTTTGGAAGGCAAAACTTGGTAGGTATAACCTTGAATGGCACAACTGAGATTTTAAGTATGAAAGATGCCCTGATGATATTTTTGGAGGCTAACATTTGGAGCAAAACATGGGAAGCACTTTTGTTATGAGACAGATCGATGCCAATATTTTGACCGGGGTTTTGAGAAGACTCATCTCTATTTTTATCACTTTTGTCGGGATGGAAGTCATCAGTTCAAGGGTACATATTTGAACACGATCGGAACTTACCTACATGTGTTGATTGTCAAATTTCCAGAAAAAGGCATGTGTGGCACCTACAAGGAACGCATTCTTGTTGATCTAAGACATGTCCATTTCTTTCTATACAAAGATGAGTGCAAAAGGAAGAAGAAAAACCCAGTGAATGCAGAGGAAAAAGCAATGTGATCTAAAATGTTACTTCGTACGTTTTCAGTCTTTGCACCCTTGTAGTGAGGATGAATCTTATATTTTGTCTAGTAGAAAGATTAGTGAAGCAATGTCCTTATTTACACACATATACATAGTCTTGACGATAGAAAAAATACATGGCCAGATTTTCCATGATCCCGTTGAAGATTATAAAGCTTCAAGTTGGACTTTCTTGGCTGTTGGTGGAAAATGCTAGAATTAAAGACGGATTTCTTGTGCTAGAGGTTGATATTGGTAGGCTTTCAACTCCTATATTCTAAAGAAACCAAGAAAATCAGATGAATGAGGCATATGCCACCTTGCACTTGCTTAATAATTTAAGGGGAAGGGATGTCATGGCTCACTCAACTCACCATACAACTACTCAACCATTACAAATGCATTCTAGAATGATCCATATCCTTCTCTATAAATTGAGCATGTGAAGGAATAATAAGCATGTTGAAGACTAGTAGCTTGGTGAAAACCGAATTTCCCCACCCTTTCTCTGTATCTCTAAATCTCTGTTCTTCTTCTTCTTTTTCATTTCTATGAGTCTGTTACTCTCCTTCTATTTCTCTAATCTGGTTCTTCTATTTTCTGCATTTTCCCTGCCCCTTCTGTTTACATTTCACTATTTTATTGTAATTTCATTTCAATTAATAGAATTACAGCTTCAGTTATTGATTCCCAGCTGATTGCTTCAATTAAGTGTTGATTTTAATTTGAATTTAGTTAGTTTTGGTTGAAGTTGAGCTCCAACCACAACAAGATGACATGGGATTCCTTAACTCATTAGTTCACATTCACAAAGTATTAGTCTATTAGACAAACAACATTTCAAAAGAAGTCATGCTGCACTTAGCAGTACAGAATTGAAGCTACATAATTGTAACAGGAAATTATTAGTGCCAACTTGATGCTGCCATATATTGAATCAATAAATTTTAAACCATGGAGCTTCAATAAATTGACTGAAATATAAATTTCTCAATATCAGAAGGAAAATAAACAACCTTAAACATCATCCTTTGTTGGACAAATCAACATAAAAGGTACGATGCAGCTCATTATTTGTTCTTTTCATAACAATCAATTAGTTAATTGCTGATGTTGTGGTTGCACTTAGTATTATTATTGCTACTACTAAATGAATTATGCATTTACACATAGAAGAGCAGAAACCATTTAACAGTAATATTCAGGATTGGAAAACGAAATTACCTTAAATTGAAGTAATTATCCGGGTCTCTCGACGCTTGCTCCCTTGAAAACTAACAATGAGCCAATAATTCCACTGATCAAAAACTAAAATTACTCCTCAAATTACGTAAAATTGTAAAAAATAATAGTGCAACTGCGAAAGGTAAGTAACCTTTTCACCGGCGAGTGACTCAGCAACGATGCGCGTGTGGTCCCAGCGCGTGGTGGACTTCGTCATTCGCTTCAGCCACAACGCACCGCCAACTAGCACCAGAGTTTTCAGCACCACTCCCCGGGCCCTGCTCCACCCGTTTGTACCCGAGTCCGAACCCGAAACTGAGCCTGTGCACATGCTGTTGCTGGACTCAAGTATCACAAAATTTCAAAACTCACCATCCAATTTGACAAAATGATTGTGTTGTTGATAATAAATTGTTGTTTTTCAGCTGGAATTCGATAAAAGGGGCAAATTTTCAGCTCCTTCTGGCCACCACTTGCTCTTCGACCATTTAAATTCTCGAATTTAACCCATCAGGCAGCCGAAGTCCAATTGTCGGCCCAATCAATAGGCGTTAAAAGAGTGGAAATTACAGGAACTATGACATTCAATTTCATAAATTATAGGTTTACTATTTTAAAAATAAGATATTTTGTTTATTAACTGATATATATATATATATATATATAGTTAGGGTTAATTATATGAATAGGCACTGGCTTTGCCTTATATTACTACTTAGTCACTGAACTTAAAAATATAACTCAATGGTCACTGAACTTCGCCAGGTGTTATTAATTTATAACCGAACTTTAAAATGTATCTCAATGATCATCGAACTTTGCACCGTGTTACCCATTCGCTACTCAAAATTGAGTGACGGATGGGTAACACGGTGCAAAGTTCGATGACCATTGAGACACATTTTAAAGTTCGATTATAAATTAGTAACACCTGGCGAAGTTCAGTGACCATTCAGTTATATTTTTAAGTTCAGCGACTAAGTAGTAACATAGGACAAAGTTCAATGACTATTAAAATATATTTTTAAATTAAATTATTAAGCCCAT